CTGTTTAAGAGACCTCTTCAGAGGACAGAGGACCAATGTCACTCTGGAGAATAAGGTGTGGTGCTCCTGATCTAGGGAATTGTCTTTGCAATCAATTGCTATGCATCAGAGAGGTGATAAAATTGATGCTTTTGAGCTGTGGTGCTGGAGAAGAATATTGACTGCTAAGAGAGGATGGTCTGCTAAGACAAAGAACAGATTTGAATAATAGGATCAGGTCTACTTGGCAGAATATGCCATGAACTCTTTTGGGGCTGAGGTGTTAGATGTCAAATAGGGAAGGTGGTGAATGGTTTTGTTGAAGTCTTTCATAAACTTGCAGACTTTCTCTTCTTTGAGAATGTGGGAAGAGCATGGCAAGAATCAAATCTGGAAGACCAAGAATCAGAAAGAGGAATAATTCAAGCACGGTCCAAGACTAGAGTGATGTCAAGTTCAGACTGTTCGATTCAGGGGATAATTCTAGGCCACAATGTGTCCTCAAAAGTGCCGGGCAAAATAGATTGTGAATTCAATAGGCATTTTATCATTTTCTGGGACGGGGAGGACTTACAAGAGAATGGTTGTTTCCTAAATGATTTTCATAAATTCTGCCTATGAGAAGGACAGATATGGTCTGCAGGAATCTGCAAAGGGTCTACACTGCCCCCAAAGGTTGCAATTCAGGACACTCCAGGTGTTACACCTGCTGCCATGGGATGGGAGTGAACAAGCTAACTTTCTGTTCACACAAAGAGCTTGGTTCACGGTGAGGTGAGAGACACAAGGAAGCAGGGCCTTGGCACTGCAGGAGGTTTTTGGAATCACTTCTTCCTCAAGCTCACCCTCTTGTTTGGAGAGAACACCATTGCATGGATGGTAGGAAAAGGATCTATGATGTCACACCAGGGATACAGACGGAGGAAGATGGAAAAGTGTCCTCTATACATCTCCTCAAACTCAAATGAGGTTCACTGTCTGTCTAAACTCAGAGACACTGAGCTTGAGTGTTCCACAGTGTAGACACACTGATTTCCACAGCATTTTCTTTTTTTTCTCCTCCTTATTTCTTCAGGTAATGATATTATGATTCACCAAAACGGGCTTAATATCAGAGTTGTAAAAAGACCTTGTTCACAATCTGAGAAGGGTGGTGATAAGAAATGTAATAGAAGGTCAGAGAGGGGAATGTGGTTTTTCGACAGATCCAAAGGATTCCACAGAGAAGACATGAGGGGAACGTCAAAGGGCTTTGGGTCAACACTGACTCCCGTAATCAAAATCCATCGTGATAATGAGATGCTGCAAGTCACAAAGCCAAGGAAAGCACACAGAATAGTTTTAAGTAGTTTTTTATTAGTCAAAGTATCACTCTATGAGTAATGAAGTCATTCTTATTGGGGTTGATTAGAGTCAGAACGGAGCCAGGGTTGACCTTCCAGTGAGTTTAAAGAGGGAGTTCATCTCAGGAGAGGAAACTGCCCGTCCTCGTGCCCAAGAGCAGCTGGTGGCCTTGAATTGTGTGCCTTTGGGATTGTTGCCACTCCACCACCAGAGCCCCCTGATTCACTCAAATCGAAGAGTCAATTAACTCTTCAATAGCAAAACAATTTTATTTTTATTAAAAACAACAAGTATATTTCACGCAAGAAAACATTCTTTAATCAAAAATTTACAGGCCCATTAGCTCGACCTTCCTCTGATTTAACAAGACAAAAGGTTTTTTGGTGAAGAATCATGAACGAACACAGGTCTCAAGCTGGGACAAGTATCAAAGGCACAGAGCAGGTCTCATCATCTTTCTTCCCGGTGAGTATTATTCCTGTTTCTGCAGATTGTACAGAAATTGTCTCACATTACAGGGAGAGGAATGGAGAATTTGATTTTGTTGGGTTTTGGATTTTTTTTTAACACAAGGCAACAGTCTGGTGTGGGACAGGTAAACGGAGATAGGAATAATTCCCAGAAGAGGTTCCCCCCCCCCAATCCTTGTCCTTCAAAGCCCCTGCGAGGTATGAATCCTTTTGTGGACGCTAAGATTGGAAGGCTGGTGGAAGGCCTTGCCGCACTGGTCACACTCGAAGGGCCTCTCGCCGGTGTGTGAGCGCTGGTGGATCTTGAGGGAAGTGCTTCCTCTGAAAGCTTTTCCGCACACCCGGCACTCGTAGGGCTTCTCCCCGGTGTGGGTCCTCATGTGGACTTTGAGATGGACGGAGATAGAAAAAGCTTTTCCACACCGCTCACACTCGAAAGGTTTCTCCCCCGTGTGAATTCTGTGGTGCACAGTGAGGTGTGAGGCACGGCTAAACCCTTTTCCACATTGATCACACACGTGAGGCCTCTCTCCGCTGTGGATTTTCCTGTGTTTCCCGAGGAAGGAGGCACTCTTGAAGGTTTTCCCACACTCCTGGCACGCATAAGGCCTCTGTGAAGTGTGTGACAGCCGGTGATTGCGGAGTATGGAGAGGTGTCGGAAGCTCTTGTCACACTGCTCGCAGGCGTAAGGTCTGTCCTCCGAGTGACAGCGTTTGTGGGACTTGAGTTGAGTGGAACTGGAGAAGGCCTTTCCACACTCGTCACACTCGTAGGGTCTCGCCGCACTGTGAGTTCTCATGTGGACGTACAGGGTGGTCACCTGCCGGAAGCCTTTTCCACACACTTGACACTCATAGGGCCTCTCCCCGGTGTGCGTTCTGCCGTGCTTCTTCAGGTCCGAGGAACTAATGAAGGCTTTTCCACACTCGTCACATTTGTAGGGCCTCTCCCCAGTGTGAATTCTCAGGTGTTCCTGGATGGAATAAGAATGGTTAAAGGTTTTTCCGCAGTGCTCACACCTGTAAGGCCTCTCTCCAGTGTGAATGCGCATGTGCTGAGTCAGGTACAACAGAAGGCGGAAGGCCTTGCCACACTCCTGACAGGCGTACGGCCGCTCTGCACCGTGGGTCTGGCCGTGGACGTGGAGCGCAGACTTGTTTTTGAAGGTTTTCCCACACTGCTTGCAGGCGAAAGGCCTCTCGTCGCTGTGAATGGTGGCATGCTTACTGAGGGTACCAGAATCCCGGAAGGTCTTGCCACACACTTGACAGGCGTGAGGTCGCACGCCACGGTGACCTTTTCTGTGCGAGGAAAGCTGTGAGGAGGAAGTAAAGGTTCTCCCACAATCCTGACACGTGTAAGGCTTTTCTCCACTGTGCGTGCGTCGGTGCACCGTAAACGTGGAATGCTGAGTGAACGCCTTGCCACAGTCCTCACAAACAAAGGGCTTCTCTCCCGTGTGGATCTTCATGTGTTCAAGGAGGTTACCCTTGGTGTGAAAGATTTTGGCACAGACCTTACACTTGAAGGTCTTGTCCCCGCTGTGCAGGCCTTCGTGCACCATGAGGGCCGAGAGGAGCCTAAACATTTTCCCACATTCTTCACACTTATAAGGCCTCTCCTCACCGGGGCTTTGTCTGCGTTTCCTGACATGGGCCCTTTCTCTGCGTGTCCCAGGAGTGTGGGAACTCGCACAGGCTTTCCCACAATCCGCACTGTCATAATGCTTCTTTCTCTCCCTGGACGGTTTAGGTCCACTTGGAGGTCGGGGGGCGTCACAGGTTTCAGAATCTTGTTGAACTTCACGTGTCTCTTCAGCGACTGTGCTCCCTGGACTCTCTGGAGCTGACACACCAACCAAGTCCTTCCTCCCATTCTTGGGTCTGGGGCGTTTCTTTGCAGTGGGGGTCTGGATGGTACTATATATGGGGGAGGGACAGCGGCAGGTTTCTCCACACTGTGGACACTCAGAGGTACGGACCCGGGTGTGAGAGTCGTGAGGTCGGGTCTGTCCCTGAGAGCGGAGAGATCGGGTCTGTCCCTGAGAGCGGGGAGGTTGGTTCTGTCCCTGAGAGCGGGGAGGTCGTGTCTGTCCCTTAGAGTGGAGAGGTCGGGTCTGTCCCTTAGAGCGGGGAGGTCGTGTCTGTCCCTTAGAGCGGGGAGGTCGGTTCTGTCCCTTAGAGCGGGGAGGTCGGGTGTGTGATGCCGGATCCCGGGAGATATTTAAACACACCACACGTTCAAGACTCTTTGCATTTGGGAGACTCTCTGCAACCATGGGCACATCTGGAACACGCCTGCAGGTTTCTTCACTGTGGCGGACCTTGTTCCGTGCCCCAGGAATCTCTTCTGCGTTTCTGTTGAAAATAGGCACGGTGTTATTTAGATAAGCACTCTTTTTCACAGTGAAAGCGCATGCCTCCCTCATGTCACCTTGCCCAGTTTCAATGATCCGGCAGAGAAGACATGATGTGCCTCATTCTAGACTTTATAAAAAGGCTTTTTCAGACAAGCATTGTGAAAATCATGAGACTAAATAAGCATGCTTGAAAATGGAAGCAAATTACTTAAGAAGGTCTATAGAAACTGAGGGAGATCCTTAACTGCTTTGTGAATGTCACCAAAAATTGGTTACAAATTTAATAGTTGTTAAAAAAAAATTGCTGCTTGTAAATACTAAAAATGAAGATTGGCAGAATGAATGAAATGAACATCAACCAAAAATACAACCTGAGGCCTTCTAATAATTGAGTCTACTGTGTTTCAACTATTTTGTGATTCTCATTGATGAAAATATTGTAATTCGAGCTCTGACTCTATAAATTAAACACTAGATTTACAAATATACAGATATATAAACTGCTGACCTAAAAGTTTTTAGTGGTTCAGCAATGATTTCTAAATCAGGGCAGAATACAAGTTATAAGCTCCCATCGAATAAACTATGACTACAAGAACCTGATACTGATTCCCTGCCCAAAGCAGGAAGACAAGCCCAGGACTTGTGTACAGTCCTCCCCAATACTCTCACATCACGTATTCCTGGAACTTTTGAAATCCATGCTGGAATTGTAGTCTTCCCAGAAACAGAGAAACAAACCCTAAGGGCCCTGTGGCCTGGTCAGCACCTTGGAGAGATGCAGAGCCAACTGAGGCACAGAAACATGTCGCTTTTTAATGAATAAGACACCACGCTCCCAGCTGAGCCTTCAGGTGTGTGTGCGTGGACATACCCATGTGTGTCTTTGCTTGGGCACACCTAGGACACCTCCCCGTAAGTGCAACTCACCTCCACTCTGTCCTCTGCTCAACAGGTGGGTCTTTCTCGCCATCTGAGGACCACACCTCCTCTAACATCGAAGACCAGAGTTTATTTTTCAGGAACCGCATCTCTATGCGTTTCCTTGATCCCTTTCCAGAATCAGTATGGTTCCGAGACACTGCTCCAAGGAATCGAAGCAAAATTGACAACATGAAACAAACAGAAAGCGAAGCTATTATTGGGGGGGGGGGAAGGGAATAAATAAAAAGGAGCAGGCACATTTTGCTGTTTCCTAAGCTCAGGAAGGACAGAAAAATCCATGCATAAAGATTCCATTTTCTTCTTTCCATGAAGATGGAAATTGCAGCTTCATGTGATAAACTGCAAAGAGCCATAAAAAAATATGGTTTTGGATCTATAGGATCCAAATATCTCATTTTAGGGATGGTCACTAACAATATTCTTCCATTAAATGGGATCTACAATTCTTGAACTTTTAGGTTTCTAATCTCAGTTCTTGACAGACAGGTCTTCCCTATTATATACCTCTGGGAAAAGAAATTATTTTCTCCCCCCCCCCAATTTTTAAAATGTTTTTATTTGTGGAAACCAGATTAACACTCTGTACAAAGTCTAAAATCAAAATCTCTGAGAGTCTCATTGTGACCAAAGAGAACGATCTTGACCTAAAGATGAAAGATCCTCACGGCTTTGCTGCGTTCCACAGGCAACACTCTGGACACCAACAGCCAGGAGATGAAAAGACCAACTGTGTTTGGAAAGTCTGCAGTGCGGGACTGCTCCAAAGTCCAGAACAAGGTGCGCCACACCCAGGCCATAGTTTTCACAATTAGGGGCTGTGCATCAGAAAGCTGGACTAAGGATGATAATACAAGTGATGCCACTGAGCTGTGGTGCTGCAGACAAGTACAGAAGTTACCATGGAAGGCCAAGAAAACAAACATGCTCATCCCGGAAAGAGTAAAACCAAGCTGTTGCTTGGAAGCAAGGAGTCTGAAGCTTCATCTGACATATTTTGGATATGCTGTAAGAAGGGACCAATGCTTGAAGAGGGACATTATGCTTGGCAGGGTGGAGGGACATGTCAGGAGAGAAAAGACCCTCAATGGGATAAACTGATTTAATGATTGGGGTAGTGGGTGTGTCAGGGACAGTAAGGTTGGCACAGAAGACAGCAGGTTTCAGAGCTTGTTGCTGTGAGTCACATGTAAGTGGATGTCACATAACAACAACAAAAAGGCTTTGCATGAGAAGCGCAATGAAATGTCACTTAAGTACACAGCGGTGTATATCCTTGGGGAAAGACAGCCTATTTGAGTTCCCTATGCCAAGAGACTAGGGCTTTTTTATTTTAAAAATGTCTTTCCATTCCTCAGGTCCTAGGACAGGACAAGTAATCTAACTAAAGACATTAAAACAAAATGGGTTGCAACCACTGTGGAAGGTGGTATGGCGCTTTCTCAAAAAGCTGCAAATAGAGATACCATTTGACCCAGCAATTCCACTACTGGGAATAGATCCCAAAGAGACCATAACTGACACCCAAGCAGATATATGCACACCCATGTTTATGGCAGCTTTGTTCACAATAGCAAAGAGCTGGAAACAACCCAAGTGCCCATCAGCAAACGAATGGATAGAGAAGCTGTGGTCTATTCACACAATGGAATACTTCGCTGCATTGAAAAACAAGGAACTCATGCAATATGATTCAAAATGGGTGACTCTGGAGGACATTATGCGGAGTGAAATATCTCGGTCGCAAAAGGACAAATATTGCATGGTGCCACTGCTGTAAGTAAGATGGCACTGATATCAGGGTGGGGGTAAGACTGCGAAAAACTGGATAAATTGCGTATACTGTATTGAAACAGATGAGGGAGTGAATCATTTAAAAGCGGTGCATGATAGGGTATTATGGTTATCACAAGAGTGCACAATGAAGGCTGCATTGTGGAATGTCCTTGGGGAGGTGGGAGGGGTGCAGGGGGATTGTGTCCCAGGGAGGGAGTCTTTCTTTAAGTTTTCAAAGAGAGGAGTGAAACTGGGGGGGGGGGGGGAGGGCTGGGCGGGGAGAGAAGTGCAACTATGAATCCAAAATTTCTGTAAATGCTCATTACAATTATTAAAATAAAATAAAAATTACCAAAAAAACCCACAAAGCAATCTGCAAGAAACAAAACCATGTTAAGAATTACTGCATTAAATGTGAATGGACTGGATTTTCCTATTAAAAGATAAAAAAGGTTAGATTAAGTAAAAATAAAAATAAAATACTAGTTGCTTAGAAACACAATTTTAATAAAATGACTTTTAAAAAAGGCTTACCTCAAGCAACCCCTTCATTCAGTTTTTTTCATCTTACCATTCAATGAGTAAACAAGAATTTAGTCAATGATAACAAAGATGAGGAGACAGAAATGTAGATTTTAATTTTAAATATACTAAGTATTCCTTATACATATTATGAGGAATTCAATAGTTTAGTAAATTATGGTATGAACAGAATTTATCTCCAAGATAATTTGTTTTATTACATTTCATGGAACACTTAATTGTCCTAATGTAGAACCTATAACTAGACCAGGAGGCTGATGTGTGAACAGACCAGGGGAACACTACACAG